GGTGCGATGCTCTACCAACTGAGCTATGAAGCCACACATTGGGAGCGAGGTCAATTAATTGACTTCATATCTTCCCGTGAGGAGTGAAATAATGTGACGTATATATGAAATAATTCATATTTGAACTAAGAAGTTCTGTTAAGATATGATGTTGCTCCATAGAAAAAGCGTTCGACATGGTTTAAATTACGGCTCATGGATTTTATAATGCCATCCAGTAACTAAGATGATATCTTTCCACATCGAATGAAGGCTTACTAGATTATAACTTAAAACTTCAAATAAGAAACAAACGATCAAAGAAACATAGCAAAAAAACAAAAAAATGTCTTCTTGTAAATACTTTACCCATGTAGAACAAAACATTCAAATCTTGAAATTGAAATTGCTGTAAACGGGATTCAAACCGATTCAAAGATGCAATTCCCCGCTGGGTCAGTGGAGAGTTTCATGCCCTCCACTTAACATGAACGGGATTCAAACCCATTCGAAAATGCATTCGCCAGCTGAGTGTAGGACACCACACGCTCCACTTAAATTGAACGGGATTCAAACCCATTCGTAGATGTAATTTTCAGCTGGGTCAGTGGAGAGTTTCGTGCCCTCCACTTAACAAGAACGGGATTCAAACCCATTCGAAAATGCATTCGCCAGCTAACTGAAGAGTTTCATACGCGCCACGTAAATTGAAGGGGATTCAAACCCATTCGAAGATGAATTCTCCAGATTGGTGGAGAGTTTCGCGCGCTCCACTTGGTGCTTGTTTACTTTCACGTCCCCGTGGTAAGGTTAGTCGATGAACTCGGTGCTTCCGTACCATTTGTTGGAAACCACGCCACGCAGGTAGCACGAGTACCATGCATCCATCCTTTGGAAACATGAGTCCAGAGGGTCGTAATAATGTGGTTCATGAATTCTGACGGGGTCAGTACTCATCGCAGATGATTGGTACTCAACTGACCCAGAGGATTGTGGCTGTTTTCAAGCAGGGGTTGGATACTGTCGCGCTTTGTCGCGCGTGAGCGAAGACAGGTTGTAACTTTAAAATTAAAATTACTTGTAGCACTTAATATTAGACCGCAAAAGAAATGTACCTTTCATATAGGTGATAAAGGTGGTAAAGACAGCGACACCATTAGTGTTTAGCCATAACGGATTTAATTTAAAAATTGCTGTAAGGGAGGGAGAGAGAGAGAGAGGGAGTATTACCTAAGAGTCAAGAGATAGAATAACTTTGGTTAAGAAGACGGGGACATCAATGGTTTAAAGCGAGACTGAATTTAGCTTCGCGGAAATAATAAAAATGCAGCAATAATTATCATTTCTCACTGATCGTTTGATATCTTTTCTCGAGACACGCGAAGGAAGGTGTTTCCCAAGTTGATGGAGGACTGGATACTACATAAAAGGTGACAACGATAGGATGTTGAAGGTGAGTTGAAAACTTTCACGAAAGTGAGAATCGATTATTGAATTTTTTACCACAATTGCTACTAATCTCGCAATCTGATTGGCTAATTTGCCGTTGTCGAGAAGACTCCAGACAACGCTGCTCGCGTCAACGCGCCACGCAATGCCTTTTTCAGCTCGCGCTCTGAAAAAAAAATGTTGTGGATTCATTCGGCTGCGCCTCGTGAGTCCACAACATTTTGACCACTGTGATGACGCGTATCGTTGTCGATAAGAGTACAGACCACGCTAAACCACATTCGATTTGTTAAGTAGAAGCCTATATACAGCGGTAAGTCATCTGGCAGGAGATAAATCTGACATAAATACGAAAAGAATAATAAAAAAAAAACAAAACAAAATGGCAAATCATATAATCCCGTACGTGAGCTCCACTTTGGCCAAGAAACGGGGACATGGGAATGACAAAGAGACACTTCACATCACGTAACATGAGGAAAGATTAACCGCTGGCTACTTTTACGAGCGTTTCAAATATGGCGCGAAATCTGGAAAACAGAAGAACGCCGAAAAGAACGCCTTGAAATGGTTCGTTTATCGTTAATGTTCTCGGTCGACGAGCTCGTTTTGTGTATTGCTGACAAGATTTTTTTTTTTCAACGGGATACTCGGTCGTTTTTCAGTCCCAACGGAAAAACTTCAAAACCAGGAGCCTCAAAGGTTGAGGATAAGCGCGGGAAAGACTCAAGTGCGAAGCCTGCATCTGAATGGAAGAGCAACAGAACAGCCATCCAAGAGAGGAAAAGAAGACTCATCTACCCCACAAATTGAAGTAAAAAAGCCATCTCCTGAAAAGAAGATCTGTTAATTTGTTCATCAACTGTACATCTAATTTGGTAAAAAAAATTTAAAACAATCTCTGGCTGAAACAATTAAAAAATTACAAGTTTTCAACTGCCTGAACTACAGTCTTTGACGGGTAAAATGTTTATGACGAGAGGTGAAGAAAAAAAAAAAAAAAAAAGTTGAATAAAAATGCGTGAAATTACAAAATAATAAAACTGCAAATAATTATGATTGTACGTTAAAAAGAATGTTATATTGTCCAGGTAGTGGGCATGAAGATTCATAATTTTTGGCATTTTTATTATTTTGCAATTTCACACATTTTTATTCAATATTGAGTGAGTCTGGCAAGTCAGTCTACAACAAAAACAGTTACATGTACTTGACTGTGTGTTTTGCAACTACTTATGTAACTCAATGCTTACATACACATACCTTAATTATAGGTGAATGTACAATGTAGTACATGTACAGTAGAGCTACTCCTTGGTAGCACTCCATGAACACAAGCACTATGCTATTATGAGCTTTTCTTTGCCCTGAACAAATGTTTGTCAATTTCTTTTATTGGCCAAGTAATGGTCAAAATTGATAATATTTGGTTGCATTTTCCGGGAGAAGAAAACTGCCTGGAGGGACTGACATTTGTTATTACTGGAGTGCTGGAAGGTATTGAGAGAGATGACGCTGTGGATTTGATTCAGAGGTATGGTGGCAAGGTGACTCACTCAGTGAGCAAGAAAACAAGTTACATTGTGGTGGGACGGGATGCTGGTGAGAGCAAACTTTCTAAAGTAAGGAGGAGTCTTGCAAAGGATCTTTTACATTTTAATTTACCTACTGAACATAGTCAGATAGTCCCATGCAAAAAAAGTATGTATACCAACACAAAAGCAAAAACGAAGCAGTTCTTAATAATAAAGTACCACCCCATTGAAGCTAACTGCTTGTGATACATGTAGATGGTGGAGAGAGATTGTACAGGTACAATGTATTTTGTTAAATTGTTTGTTTGTTTGTTTGTTGCTTTAAGGCTAAGCAGTGTGGTACAACACAGCTAGATGTCAAGACAAAACCAGGGAAGATGATCAGCTATGAACCTCCCAGCAAGGAAAAGAAGTCAAAGAAGAAAGAAAAAACTGAAGAAGCTGAAAAATTGAGTCAAGGAAAGGAACAGTTCAAAGGGGAATCATCGCAGCTTAGTGAACGATCAGTGTCATCTCCTGCCACACAGACCCCTACATCATCACCTGTGTCAAAAGGTAAGTTGTGATGTTCCAGAAAATATCTATGCCTCTCCCACTGAGGATTTTTTAGATTTGACCCTCACCCCTTCCCCCGCCAATTGGATTCTCCCAGGAAATTCTAGTTTTGCTGTGCACTTTCCTTTAAAAAGAATATTGGCTTTAGAGAACCCCTTTGCCTTGGAATTTCCAATGGACCACACATTACATTTGCATGGATCATCACATCCAGCTGTCAGTCAAGATACTTATATTTAATCAAGAACATAACCCCAACACATACAGGCCGTTCAACCACTCACTGATGTCTTAAACTGTTTAGGAGAACCTAGTTTGTTATGGGTTGACAAGTATCGCCCTCACTCAGTGAAGCAGATTATTGGCCAGCAAGGTGACAAGAGTAACATGCATAAGCTGATGAACTGGCTGAGAGACTGGGAGAAGAACAGAAAGAAAGCACCAACTAAATGTAAGTTGACCTGCCGACGCGTACGGTGAAATTCAAAAAGATTTATTTGCCGTCCTTTTAACTTACGGTACATGTATATGTATATGTATTTCTCAAAATGTTAGTGGTGTACACATGTATGCATGTATTAAATAACATTGTGGGTAATTTCCACAACATCAATTCTGATAATTAAAATTGTA